GTTAAGAGTTTCCAGAAATGAGAAGAAATGCTTCATCGTAAGTATACTTGAGCGATCTTAGGGGTCGTTTTCTTAGTGATATTCAATAGGAAGTCACGAATTTGATTCGAGATAGTTCGAAGGGAATTGTGGTAGTAAAAATTATAATAGCAGCCATAATAAGTATGACAATCTTACTAATATAATAAATACCAAAGTTTAGACGGATGGATAGATGTATTTTTGTTAGAGTTTGCAACCTAAACGGCTGAACAGATTTCGATGAAATTTGGCAAAGATGTAAAAGAAAGTCTGGAAGAACACATAGGCTATTCACTTTGGTTTTTTTCAATTCCATGTGGATGGAGTCGCGGGCGAAAGCTAGTCCAAAATATACCTAATATTTATGTATGCAAAAACATAGTACTAATATTATAAATGCGAAAATTTGTACGGATGGATGAATGTCACGACATATCATAAAAAGAACTTAACGGATCTCTACAATATCAGTCTTAGGAACAAGGGATACGTAGTACTTGAAAATATTATTTTTAAATCTGCACATTTAAACTTCAGATAGTCTATACATATAATTTTAAAAGTAATAAATTATATTGTAATATTGCAAGAGTATTGCTCCAATTTCCATTTGACAGCGGACAATAAAATCAGTCAACAAAAAGTGCTTGAGATCGAGCTGCGATTTACAAATGCATCGTTAGTGTAACAAGGGAAATCGGATTTGCACCTGACGCTTGTGATCCAATGCCAAATAGAGCCTACACTAAGATTTTTTTTTGTTCACATCGTTGTTAAACACATATCGGAACATTATTCAGTTTTACTATAATGTTATAAATGCGAAAGTTTAGATGGATGGACGTTTGGTACTTTGTAGATCAGTCTGTTAGATCTCGATGAAATTTGGAATAGATATCGAGGATAGTCTGAAATAACACATAGGTTACTTACTTTTTTTTTTTGTTTTATACCACGCGGGCGCGGGCAAAAGCTATTAAGACACAAAGTTATATAGATAAAAAGTAATTAAACAACATAAAAAAAAAATCAAACAATATCTTAGTACAGCATTAATAAAACTTATGTTATACAAAACGTTTTTTTCCTGTGTGTAAATATTTATATTTTTTTTACGTGAATGAATGAAAAACTTATCAAACAAAGTCAATTGTTTATAGTAAACTAGCTATTGCCCGCGACTTCGTCCGCGCGGTATTAGAAAACATACAAACTATATAAATAACAAAAAACTTCGTATCCCTCTGGAACCGGACATTTCTCGGGGATGAACCTTATCCCATGTGTACTGCAGAATTTGTTTTATATCTGTGCCAAATATCAATAAGATATGTTGAACCGTTGCGGAACGATCGAGTAAACAATAAAAAAATAAATTAATAAATCCCACGGGAACCGTAACTATTCCCGGGATAAATAGTTTATGCGTTCTTCCAGACTACGCTCTAAACCTATGACAAATTTCATGGAGATCCGTTCTGCCGTTTAGGCTACAAACGCTAACAAACATCCAACCATCCATCGTAACTTTGGCATTTATCATATTTATATTATGATATAACGTATATATGATTAAGTTCTAATTAAGTGGATATTAATATCAAGCGATTCATTTGCTGTGATTTCTGCTATTTAAAAATTGAATGGCTAAAGGATTTTTTTGTAATTTTATTTCCATCGTCATTAATGACTTCATTGTTAATTGCGTAGAATCATTGTTGGTTGGATGAAAGAATTGAGACAATGAGGCTTTTAACGAAAACATTCCTTTTGTATAGCGGCCATTTAGGACCATTGTTTCATAACCGAGACTTTTGTAATTGGATAGTTAGTGGCTTTACAGATTGCTTAAAACTGAATACAATATGCATTTTGTAAATCGAAATATTCAATGTTACAGACTGAAATTTGTACAAAATTACGAACGAGATTTTGACGACATTTTATAATTTACTAGCTTTTGCCCGCGACTCCGTCCGCATGGAATTTAAAAAAAAACAAAAGTAGTAGCCTATGTGTTCTTCCTCTACGTCTGTGCTAAATTTCATCGCCACCCAAATGTTTAAACATCCATCCATCCATATGAACTTTTGCATTTATAATAGTAAGATTCATTTCTATTAGGTATACATTAATTTTATGCAATTCAATAAAGTGCTTAAATATTACAAAGTCGGAATTTATTACATTTTTTTTCTCTTTTCCAATACAAATAAATAAAGCTTTGTGTGAAAGATTGAGGTAAATCCGACGTTACCTTTTCCATTGCCTGTTGGGAAATCAAATCGTTGTCTATTCACCTATTAAACAAGACCAGCTTTCAACAGCTTTGGTTTCAACTAATGCAAAGCGAATAAATTCATTTTCAAATATTATCTATACTATTATAATAAAGCGTAAACTCACACTTCTTTGTTACCTAAGATGTCAGCAATTACAGCATATTTTTGAATAATTCTCTAGACTATATATTTTCACGCCATTAAACTTAGGGGGTAAATATTTTGGATAAAAACCCTAATCTGGGAAAGAGACCATAGATTGCTGCCAACATCAAGGAAGCAAGACTGTCAAGGTTTTTCATGTCATGTCATTTCAACATTTGCTATTGATAATTCGACACATGGAAACAATAAAATAACATTTTGACAATTTCATGCGGATGAAGCCGCACGGGAACAGCTAGTGACATTATAAAATTGTACATCATAGGTTTTAAAGCTTAAACCTTTTCTGGTATACAAAGAATAAGTAACTAAAAATAATTTATTCATAGAGTAGATAGAATATTGAATTTCCATTTCAATAAAAGTCTATGAAAACCAACACTTTTTAAACACCAGTTTTTACGCAATTTGGGACTAAACAAGGCACTAGAAAGACACTAAATCTTAATTGTTGAGACAATCTATAGTTAAGTGAACTTTACTTGACGATTTTGTTTTATTTTTCTTGATGCGGTTACCAGTAGGAGCAAATTGATTTCACCCTCAAGTTACGAGTAACACGGCTATTTCGCTTTAACGCTTATATGAACTTTATCGCTGCAGCCCGGAGTGTGCCAACGTTACCTATACCGATTTAATATTTTAAATATTGGCCAAACATTTTTTTTTTTTTATAACATAAGGTGGCAAACGAGCAAGCGGGCACCTGAAGCCGCCAAAATGGCGAAGCGACCGCTGCCCATAGACATCCGCAATTGCAGATGCGTTGCCTACCCTTATACGACGGAGGAGGAGACGCACATAAAGAGGATATTTCCCCTTCCTATGCATCTCCTCCGCCGTCAAATCCACTTCCTAACCTAACCCAACCTCTTCTTATAAGAAAAGGGTGGTAAAGAGAAAGGGACTTAAATTAGGCCTCCGGCACCACACTCATCAGACGAAACACGGAATTGCTTCCATTTTACGCCTGTCTTCTGTGTGGTCGTGGTATTACACCGGGCGTGCCGGCCCATTCGCGCTAAGATGTTAAAGCGGGCACTACCACTGTGAAAACATTCATTCATTCACTATTCATGTGTAATGTTTGTCTAATATCCAAAATTAATATAACAATAACAATAAAAAATAAACATTACAATAATGTAAAATTATATTCGAACTCAATTTTACACTTCTGATGCTTCGAGTCAAAAAGTACAGGACCAAGATATGAGCGTCAAAAATGAAAGTTCGTTTGCAGTTGGAAATCGTATTTTGATACGGAATGAGGTATCATGTTTCAATGTAGAGGCAATCAGACGAGAGAAATGGTGTGATTTCCTCTGAGTTTTACTACATGTAGGTACTAGTAGAGAACCTTGGGCATCTAAATATAATTCTGAAAATAAAACGGTTACTAAAAAAAAGCTATTTTATTAACTAAGGTTAAAATATGTGATGATGTCTTAAATGACAATACCACGTTTCAATATTTCCCGTAGGGCCAATCAGTCTACCGATCGATCGATCTATTGAGAATTTTTTGTTCTGCTTTCTGTTGAAGCGAAGTGTCTTAGATTCGTTTCAGTATTCGGCCTTTACTGTATATTATATTTTCTCTGTTTTAATGATAATAAGTCGAAACAGATATAAGTGAAAAATGATTGTGTTTAATTTTTTATAATATTACAAAATGTCAACTTCTCATGATGCTTCAAAGGTTCCAAATTGCACCTATTTAAGTTGTGAGTATGTAATTTTAAGTTTAAGTACCAATTAAGCGATTATTTTATAACTTAATACTCTTTTAAGATTGTATCAGGACCAAAGCGCAATTTATGAACATGGAAAGTACCGGTATTATTGCGAGGGGTGATTTAGACTCAATAACATAATAGCAACCATGAAATTAACATAACTGCACCTTTTTTCAGGCTACCCTACTTTGTATTTTAATAGCACATTTCAAAATTGAGTTGTAAAATTGCTACGATAAAAATCTTTAATTTGAAAATACCTTTCTTTACCTTACTGTTACATAGAAATCGAAACATAAAATTGTAAGATCATTTTAAAATGGTTTCTTGCTTAAGTTTTTATAAAGCAATTAAATTGGTAAAATACACATGCCAGTTGGCACACATGCAAGCTACTAACGCGTGTCAGCTAAAGACTTGTGAAGACGCTAATAGTCATCCCAGTGACCTGAAGGAAACTAAAACGATATTTGAATTTGTAACAGAAAATACGAAGCTTAAAACTGTCTCATCGCGAATGATCTAGTAAAAAAATTACTGTATCCTGCCAGTATCTGGCATGTGCCAGGTATGCCAGCTACTATCCGGGACAGGTTGAAACCCAACTCGGCATGGCTTAGGTCATGCGGTCCACGCTGAGCCTGCAGCACACTGTTGTCGATTTAAGTTTTCTTAGCTCATAAGAAACTGTTATCTCATTTTTTGTATCAACAATAAAAATCTTTTTATTAATTTATTCCATTTTACTGGTATTTCAGCTTTTAAAAACAATACGCCCTTTATTTCTTTGCAGGGTCACTTTTATTCGAGGAAATTCAAATGTTGTCATTAGAGTGTGTTTTGTAATTTAGCTAAAAGGGACAGAAGAGTCACGCACCACATTTCTATGTTAATTGTAATTTTGTTCATGGACTTCCACGTAATAAGGTAAGTAGCCACTTTCTTCATATACTTTAGGGTGCGTTGGATATTTTAAATTTTGTAGGTGCCTCTTAAAAATGTACTTTACTATTCCGTAAACTATGATTTTCTATTTTTAAAAATTAAACTAATTACAATCATGTAATATTATACGCTGCTAAACGAGCAGGTGTTCTCCAGAATTCGCGAAAATAGCAAAGCGATCTGTAATCGACATACAAACAGAAGCAAAGAAAGAGGAAATTTCTTCTTTCTAAGCGTCCCTTTTCATGTCGAATCCGCTTCCCCCATCCTTCCATTTTTTTTTGTTTTGTTTTTCAAAACCACCTTCTAAACACAATTATATTTATATGCAAGTATTGCCATTTATTTCTTTCACTTCAATAACATTTAAGTGTGAAAATAAAAAAGATTTGTATTCTTCCGATATAACGCATTTAAAGCAAATTAAACAAGTCATTGAATAAGGCTCTAAAAGCTCAGTAACACATTGAAACGATCTCGAAATTCTCTACAAATCCAATTTCCCTTTCACAGCGGTTTGAACGTCTCCGCCGAGGTTTGCGAATGATTTTTGAAGTGCTTCTTAAATCTGTTTCTTAGAATCCCGGCGGTTTGCGACACGTTTTTAAACGAAGAAATTGCGCTTTTAAGTGACAAGTCTTTACATGTACGTGTAACCAGCTTTTTGTATTTCAAAACATTCTTTAAAAGCTATGAGTGAAAAAACGATTTCTTATGATAATAATAGAATTAACTAGCTTTCGCTCGCGACTCCGTCCACGTGGAATTAAAAAAACAAATTGAGTAGCCTATGTGTTCTTACAGACTATCCTCTACTTCTATGCCCAATTTCATCGAGATCCGTTCAGCTGTTTACGCTACAAACTATAACAAACATCCATCTATCCCTCCATCCATCTAAACTTTCACATTTATAATAATTGTAAGATTGGTAAGATATTAGTATGATTCGCAATTAAAATAACAATTTGTGCGTTGAATAATTCAATTTTCAAAATTCAAGGGGATAGATATTTCCAAAGGTATTCTCATAGTTACAATATTATAGACATCTATACTAGTAATATAAAGAGGAAAGGTTTATATTTTTTTGTGCATCGAAATAAATCAAAAATACTGGACCGGTTTCAAAAATTCTTGCACCATTATAAAGCTATGTCATCACTAAGTAACTTAGACTATGTTCATTAAAATTTTAGTTTCCGCCCAGACGAAGACGTCAGCAACAGCTAGTAATAAATAAGGAAGGGGTAACTACTGAAATGATGATAATGAACAATAGCCACCGAGCAGTATAGACTTTTTATCAGTCGATAAAGTAATTGGGCTTAATCAGTATGAGTATGGACGAAGAAATTTGCTTTCTATGTGCTGTGATAAAATTCTTAATTTATATTACGTAACTTTCTCAAACTCTACTATGAATAAATGTTGTATTTTTAAATTTTATTAAACCATGTTTTTATTCAGTTTCTCACCAGTATGTTTTAAGTAGGGCTACGCTGGTGAAGTAAAGATTAATACGGCGCTGAGCTGTCGAGAGCTACTTGGCCACAAAAGCGCCGAGCACCGGATTTCATTTCCGTTATTAATATTAATGGGCTTTCCTCTAACTTATACAGTTTAAAGTTTAAGTCACTATTTACCGTTTTATAAAATTAAATACAATGGCGATAAAAATAGAACAATAAAAAATCTGAGAGTCTATTACGAATGTTTTCGCAACAATTGCGAGAGTATTTGTAACGTCATCGATAACATTTGTAAAAGCTGCACAAATCTAATATAAATATTGTCCATATCGTTACGAAAACCTTCTTACGAATATTCGAAATAAGAACTATGTATTTTAATATAACAGAATTTTATGTAAATTATTTTATTAACAATTAAAAAAATGGTAATATTTGTAAATTTGTAGTGTTTTTAAGTTGATTAAAAAATGCTTTTCAAATACAATCATGACTGGTAAAATACTTAATTTTCTAATGATCATTTCAAGTAGTCAATAATTATTTTTAAAGTGTTCAATAACTAGTTCGTAATTTCTGTTTGTCATTTTTAAATACGTTTGAGTCATAATAGTCGAACTTTAAGCTACTTTTATACACGTTGTAGTTATTTTCAAGTCATTTTAGTAAAGCTCTGCATGAATAGTGTCACTTGATGATTTTTTTATAAGCTCCATGAAAGCTGTTGGAAATTATAGCTATCTATGAAAAATTTCTTAAGGCAAACGTTATTTTACCTTAAGAAGCTGTTCTCTATTCACGTCTTTGCTTTAAAAATAACTATTTTAACATCAGCATTTTACTTTGACTCACTAGGATTTTTTTCACATGTGCGAGCCCGAGCGTCGAGTGATTTAATAATGAAAATAATTATTTGTTATGTTATTTTGATATTTCAAATATAATAAATGCACTATATATATCCAAAGGTTAACAAAACATTATAGACGAAGCAAAATGATCACAAAACGGATTGCAGTGAGTTCAGATCGAACTAAAGCTTCCGTTATTAATATTAATGACTTCTGGCATAAGCCGCAGACTGTAAAGTCAGTTTTATAATGTTTGCATCTTCATTGAAGAGGCTATGAGAATTACGCGAGTACGTTATAACATAGGCTATATAGCCTGTGTTATTCAACTATAACGTAGGTTTTAATTAGGTTGTACCGAAACTCTGATTCCGCATCCGCAGTGCGAAGCTTCCGCAAGAAATAATAACTCCGCATCCGCTTCCGCTTCCGCTTCCGTTATTTCTTATACGGAGTTGTAACGGATAAGGTATCATTTATGCGGCCCGCGCCGGTGTGATAAGTCAACTAACTATAGTTGTTATATTCGTACATTATATTTGCATAATAAACTGTATCTTGTAATTATGTATCAATCTGTGTTTTGATTTAACGTAGTTTTAGTTTTTATTTCTTTAATAAATCGCGATTAATATTTTATTATTGACCTCTGATTCTGCTTCTGTTAACCTCAGCTTCTGCAGAGGTGAAGCCCTTCGCCTCCGCATCCGCTTCCGTTAAAATGGCCTTCGTTACAATCCTAGTTTTAATATTACTAATATTATAAATGCGAAAGTTTAGATGGATGGATGGATGGATGTTAGCATTTGTAGCTTAAACGGCTGAACGGATCTCCATGACATTTGGCACAGGTTTAGAGCATAGTCTGGAAGAACACATAGGCTACTTTTTATCCCTGGAATAGTTACGGTTCCCGTGGGATTTATTAATTAATTTTTTTAATGTTTACTCGATCATTCTGCAACGGTTCAACATATCTCATTGAAATTTGGCACAGATATAAAACAAAGTCTGGAGTACACATGGGATAAGCTTCATCCCCGAGAAATGTCCGCTTCCCGAGGGATACGTAGCTTTTTGTAATTTATACAGTTTGTATGTTTTGTAATACCACGCAGACAAAGTCGCGGGCAACAGCTCGTGTAACTATAATCAACTCAACTATAGTGTAAAAATATTTTTACATTTCACGTGGACGAAGTCTCAAGCAACAGCTCATCATAACGCTATAACATAACGCTTTCAGAGTAAGATACTCTTTAAACAATCTAATAACGCATCGATCAGTATCGAAATAACATTATGACGGATTGGCATCCGATAACTTCATTCCGTATTGCGTAACTTAATACCCACGGGGACGCGCGGTGTGGGGGATTTGAAAATTAACTCGACAACCTTTGACGTAAGTTAGCAAATATTGATCTTAAGTTTACAATGTATTCAAATATTTAAAGACATATGACGTGTACCGGTAATTCCCAGGATAAAGTTGAACTCGAATTTGACAAGACGTTGGCTAAATATTTAGATCATCATCATCATCTCGGTCGGCGTGCCAGGTTTTCGTCCTTCAAGTAACTCTATCATCCGTCATCTCAGTCATCACACCCTTCTTGACCATGCCACCTTTCACGTAATATATCCATCTCTTTCTAAGTTGGCTAAATATTCAGATGTTGAGTCAAAATGAATGAGCATAAAATTTTATCCTAGAATATTGAACGTATAATAAGGGATTTTATTAAAAAAAGAACAATATTAGCAAACTAGGGGTTCACACGCCACAGATCTTAAAACGGGCCATTGCCAATTATCTTAAATCAAGTTCGTGACTCTGCATCTAAACAATGTAAGCATCATACTGGAAAATACTCTTTCAGATATACGTAGTAATTTTATTATAACCTTCTTAAGTGTTTATTAAATTAAAAAGGAAAATAGGTAATAATAAAATATCAATGAATAATTTACAAATAATCTTTCTTAATGCTCTTAGTTCACAATTTTAAACAAATTTACTTGAAGAGCTCTTATCACATCGTAATAAATAGTGTTCAAACTTAAAGTTAAATAAAAGTATTTACCTTCATAGCATGCTAGCTTTTGGGCTCGACTCTGTCTGTGTCGAATTAAAAAAACAAAAGTGAGTGGCCTTTGTGTTCTTCCAGACTAAGTTCTACATCTATCTATACCAAATTTCATCGAAATCCGTTCAGCAGTTTAAACTACAAACTCTAACAAACATCCATCCATCAAAAATTTCGCAATTTTTTTTTTATAATACGAGGTGGCAAACGAGCAAGCGGCCACCTGAATCCACCGAAATGGAAAGCGACCGCTGCCCATAAACATCCGCTATTGTAGATGCGTTGCCTACCCTAATTGACGGAGGAGGAGACGCACATAAAGAGGACATTTCCCCTTCCTACGCATCTCCTTCACCGTCCAATCTACTTTTTCCTCCCATCCTTTCCTCTTAAGAAAAGGGTGGAAAGGAAAAGGGACTAAAATTAGGCCTCCGGCACCACACTCATCGGACGAAACGCGGAGTTGCTTTCACTTCACGCCTGTTTTATGTGTGGTCGTGGTATTACACCGGGCGACCGGCCCATTCGTGCAAAGATGTTAAAGCGGGCTCTACCACTGTTAAATTAATTAGAATATTAGTAAAATTGAATAGTAACTATTGTTATAATAATCTATGATAATAATTAGATAAGTAGCCTTCCCCTAGCGGATCAATTATCTAATTTGATAATGGGTTCACATATCTCGCAACTATTGTGACTGTAATCTAATACTATTGAGAACCTGTCACTGAATACATTCCAGATATGAAATGTTTGTGATATTGAGTCAAGTGTTCGTTAAGAACAAGAGCTTATTGTAGTCTACAATTAAATGGATTTGAGTAACAAAGCATTGATAATTAACATCTATACTATTATAATAAAGCGTATTATTTTTGTTGCTTAAGATTTCAGAAATTACAGCATATTTTCGAATAATTTTTTTTTTAATATAAAGCTCTAAACTTACGTCACGCTTTATATGTTTTCACGCCATTAAACTTAGGGGGTAAATATTTTGGATAAAAACCCTGATGTGGAAAAGAGACCATGAGTTGCTGCCAACATCAAAGAAGCAAGATTGCCAAGGTTTGTCATGTCATGTCATTTTGACATTTGCTATTGATAATTTGACACATGTAAACAATAAAAAAAAATTCATAATTTCATGCGGATGAAGCCGCACGGGAACAGCTAGTATCAAATAAAATCCAAAATTATACAAATTCAACTATTTTATAAAAAATATAACAGAAATTATATCAATTGTTAATTCTTTGACAATCAAGTGAAGCTGGACATATCGCTGTTATAAGCCATAAAAATGTATTATAAATAAAAAGAATATTAGTTGGTTAAATAATTTAAAATCCTCACAGAATTAGCACATTCAAGGAATATAAAGTAATGTTTTTTTTAATCAATAGTGATATCTTTTTAGTGGACTTGGGCGTAAAAAAACTTTTATGTAACATTTTTCCATATCATGTTATGAGTTACAATAATTACCAAAAAAAATTTTACACGCTTTACTTAACATCAAAGAAAAGTTTGGAATTAGATCGCCAATCTCAAAGTTTGGGAGCTGTTGAACCAACTTCGCAAGAAGTTCAGACGACCAAGTTAGCGATTAGCTAAGGCAATAAAATTTTCTTTTTTCCTAATGAATTGTAATTAAACGCTTTTGGATACAAGAACAGTGGAAGATGATTGTTCTTTTTGTGATTATATTACACTAGCTTTCGCCTGCAACTCTGTTCGCGTGGAATTAAAAAACAAAAGCGAGTAGCTTATGTGTTCTTCCAGACTATCTTCTACATCTGTACCAATAGATGTCCCAACAATAACTTAATGCAGATGTGTATATGCAGTAGTTACAGTGTTTTCTATCCAATTGATAAAATTGGAGTGCCAGTACGTAATATAAAAATGTATATTTCAAGCACACATGGACATATATGCGTTGTTTATAACGAAAACCATGTCTCCATAATGACTGAAC